ATCCTTTGATGAGGGATCACTGTTAAAAGCATTGCCCCAAAATGAAAATATGCTATTATCATCCTCTATTTCAGAGAGTACTGATAGTGGTACCAACAGAAGAAATCAACTCATTCATTTCCTAGTTTTGTAAACTATTCTTAGCTGTTCCTTCTCTGAGCTCAAATCTCTGTCACTCTGGTTTATCTTTTCACTGGGTTTTGAATACATCTGTGGATTTATTTTAAGCATTAGTTTTGGGGTAACAGTCCTTGATCCACGGCTGCCTTAAGTAATCTCATTTTCACCAGGTTTCTTGGAGCACAGTACCTATTCTTGGGTGCACAGTGTGCCCACCCTCTCATCTGTAACACTTTGTTCTGTGCTCCACTCCTGCATTACTTCATTTCTTCTTCCCTCTAGGTCAGACACATCACCCTGAGTGACCCTTCTCTGTTAAGAGCATTCTCAGAGATTCTGATCTTTTCAAATTTGCAGGTAACCTTCTAACCTTTCCTGCTTATCCAGAATGTATGTCATTCTTTTCTGAAAATATGCAAATCAACATGGAATACCTTTGAAAGTCCATTGATTGAACATATAGACTCAAGTTATCATTGATCCGGTTAAAACTTGAAAGACACTCTAGACTATCCTTAGTACCCTTGGATCTTCTAAGGGAATTCTAAACACCTAGGAGTGTGCCGCTTCCTTGACTCAGCCTACTCATGTCTCCCATGACTCACCAATGAGTAACTGTGACTTTCGAAAATTACTTGAATTGGTTGTGCTCCCATTTCTGAGCAAAAGGACAGACATGGGACATGCTCATGAGGGGTATTTGTATTGGAGGTTTGTTTATCCTAAAGCCTGGCCCGGGGTTCCCTTAGCTTATACACTGTGTTCATTCTGCAGGGTGAACCCATAAGCCCACATTGACGAGAGCAGGCAGCGATCCATGTTGATTGTGCTTGTGTAGTGGGCAAATGCTTCATTATGGTTCCACATAATTCTCCTAGCTGCCCATTTTACACATAAAACAACTGAGGGTGGGGGTGGAGCAGCTTGCCTGCCTCCCAAGCTGGTGGGAGAGAGATGAAATTCAAATAAAAGCCTATCTTCCTGCAAAATACAAGCTCCTTCCTGACTGCATATTGCTACTGTTATTTCTAAAAAGTAAAACAAATAATGAGAATAAAGTTGGGGGCTGGATTTAGATCTAAAGGCTCTTGCAATGCAGCAGTTTATTTTGAGTGTCTTGGAAAGTTCGCTTGATGATTTTGATAAAATGTAACTAGCAAAGACAATGCAGGCTCTTCACTCAAGTAGAAGAATAGTGATAATTGATAAAATTCTTATGTGAAAGTGCATACAGATTGGGTCATGAAAGAAACGCAGAAATAAGATGGGTTTCTAGTTAGTAATGTGACTGTTCTCTGGATTCAGTAATCCAGGGTCAACTTGCTTTTAAAAAAAACAAAGTACTTTGGTTTTTAATAAGGTAATAATTCAAAACAGAACTGAAGTTTCACATTTATTGGTGGACTTTTTTTAAGAGAACAAAAGAGCAGTCTCTACTATGAAAATGATACTAGATTTGTGACCAGATGCCTCTCTAGCCGCTTGTTTTCAGTCAAGGTCACTGACCAACCATTGCCCGGCATTATTCCAGTAGTCGGTTCATACCTTAACATGTCTTACTTGAGAGAAGAATCATATAAACCTTTTGATGTCTAAATTAGAGATTACTTTTTGTTACAGAAAGCAACCAAATGAAAACCTAAGGATGTTAGGTAAGAAAATGTCAAGTGATACTGCTCCTAATTTGCCCTTGTTTGGAGTTCTAATAAATCCAGTTAAAATTCCAGGGCTTCAGGGCCTCCCTGGTGGCATAGGCAGTTGAGCGCCATGCTGCAGAGGCGGGTTCAATCCCGGCCTGCTGGCGGGAGTCCCTCACGGCGCAGCAGACCTCTCCTGTCTCGCCCACTGCTCCCCTCAGCAGTGTATTTCAGTCAGTCTGCCTGTTCTGTTTTCCACTCTGTCTCTGGTGAATCTTCTCACCCTCCCGCACATCTGGTCTATACCCTGGTTCTTGTATAAATAAATAAATCTTAAAAAAAAAAAAAGATAGAAAAATTCCAGGACTTCGTGTTTTAGTTGTTTTTTTTTTTTTTTTCCTAGCTACTAAAAGAAATGATTTTTGGCACCCACAAGCAACTTGGCTGTTTCTAAACACTGCTGGAATTGGGGTGTTTGTTTTCTCTTTGTCATGGTGTTTACATGCCCTGGCTTGGGCCGCAGTGAAAACGCATTTATGATCCCCTGGTCTCACCCAGCTCCTAATGGATGTTTGTCTAAATGACAACACCCAGTTTAGCACTGTTAATGCTTATGCAACAGCACAGGACCTGCCCGTCAGGGGGCGGGTATGTGTGCTGTGTGTGACAGTTGGGGGCATGAGTGGTGAGAGCAGAAACCTCCTCTGAAGTAAACACATCCTCCTTTCGCATCCAGCTCTAGAAGCACCTTTTTGTGCTCTCCAATCCCTCCTTAATTTAGGAGTCAATACATAAATATTCATTAAATCAGAGAATCTAAAAACTTGATCATTTTCCCCATAACCCTAGTACTGGACTTGCTCTCAGGAGCCCAGATTTCTCAGCCTTGACAAGGACAATCTTATGACAACCAGAGAGTGTCATCCAAGGTGAAAAAGACAGACTGCTGTCTGGGGTCACTTTATATGGACTTGTACACGGCACCCTTTGCAAGATTCATGGTGAGTTTGAGCAGCACAGCAGCCATTCTTCCAGATACGTAGCCTCCATAGTGTACTTAGCAAAATGTATTCCCATTTCTATTTTGTTCTCCATTGTCCCCAACACTGTATGTGGATGTGTTGGACGCAGTGGGCCCTTTCAGGAAACAGCAGGATGATTCCAGGCAGAGCATGACAGGTCTTTAGAGGGATGCGCCTGCTCTAACCCAGGCCCACAAGCAGACTGGGGCTAAAAGGGGGAGCCATGAATTGAGCATTGACAGCGGGCCACGGCTGTCCGAAGGCTCAGGTGGTTGTCAGACATAAGTTTAGCTCAGCTCTTTGAGTAATTTGTCACGCCTCGCTCAGCCCCTGCTGGGCCAGCACGTGCCAGCTTAGTGTCAGAGTGCCTGTTCGCCAGACGGCCACTCAGGCCTAACGTCCTGCTGTTCCCTGGACCAGCGGCTTGCTGGGGCCATGCACGGAGGGCTGAGTCGTGGCAACAGCCAAGTGCTGTACAGAATAAGCGTGTTCATAATGAGGCGTGCATGGCATTAGTGGGTCCCTCTAGAATTGGGCCTGAACAGGCGCCTCTCACTGAGCCTGTTCGTTAAGGCCAGTCACAGTTCAGCTCACAGTCAAGAAGCCAATTCAGGCTCAGGCTGCCCAGGCCTTGGACTGTTGTGACCATCTATAGAAAGGATCAGAGAGGCCACTTTTGAAATATTCAAACTCATTTTCCTTTTCAAAAGTTGCAGAGAGCAAGCATAAGGGGGATTTCTAGCACAGCACTGCCCAGGAATGCTGCGGGTTCTGTGGGTGACCCAACATGGTGACTTCTAGTCGCACGTGACTCTTGAGTGCTGGAAATATAGCTGGTGGGACAGAGGAGCTAAAGTGCTACTTTTTTATAATTTTTAATTAATTTGAATTTAAACTGAGCAGATCCCATGTGGTGGTCGCTGCCACAGTGGCCAGCACAGTCCAGGATGCCTCTGGTCTCTCAGTGTGAACATCTTCCTCTCAGTATAATTGGGGGAAGGGAAAGACGACCCTGCATTGATAAATCAGCGTGCCAAAGGAAAATAAAAATGTTTTCCTATTTTAAAACACACGCCCTACTAAAAGCATAATAGTCTCCAACTTTTATTTTTAGAGAGGCCATTTTGAGAATAGTATTAAAATACAGTAAGAAATGCTGGGATCACGTTTGTTCTTCTGGAGCCAATAATAAACGGAAGGTTCAAATAAAATGAACTGATGGTGATCTGCATCCCCTGTGTTCTTGGAGATGGAGCATGATTTTCAAAATAACAAAAATATGTCCCTTAACTTTTGCATTGATAATAAGGAAAGGGAAAATGAGACATCATGCTGACTTCCCCAAGTGTTAATTCATAAAGTCATAAGTGTGGTGCCTCCATCCGCTGTCAGATTGTTCTGATGTTATCCTGTTATTGGAAGTGCATGATTCACCTTCTGAGGAAACAGAAGCCACACACAAAAGGGGAAGATTTGCTTTCTGCCCTGTGAATGGCTGCCACACGCAGGGGTCCTATTAAGACAGCTGGAAAGTTGCTTCAGTGTGTTACGCTTGTAAGTTTTATTGGTGACTGGTTTTTGATTACACATTTGAATGCGTGTGTTCCAGACTGCAGTTTTAATTAAAAGGCAATAGTCTTTTTTTTTATTGCATTGTGCACTCTCTGCTAGAGTCTCCCACTTATTAGTTCTTCTTTTTTAATGCTCGTAGCCAATCTTAGCCCCCTCACAGCACACCTTCCTGGCCTCACTTCTTCCCAGTGATGTGTGTTTTCTCATTTTATTTAAAGTACCTGCACCATTTGCCCTGCCCCTTCTTATCAGGCTGAGAAGAACCAGTAACTGGGGAAAGAAAAACTCAACATTGTACCCCACTTGTCAGTGGAAAGAGATGGTAGAACAATCAGCATTTCTGTTGGTTGAACTCAACCTTAAAATGTTTTGATGCGATTCTGTAACTATTGTGTATATATTGATTTACTGATACTAGTGTCGGATGCAGTTGTACTCTAAGAGGAACGGGTCTCAAAAAGTCAGAATTTTACCACTTAGTGATGGATGATACTTAATTCTCTGACAGGAGGTGAACGAACTTACAAGGTACATTTCCCCACACACACACAACCGCAAAAGTTGCTTGACTGTGTTGAAAACAAAGTGAATGTCATTGTTACGTGTGTCCCCCTACACTTGCACTTGTTTCCTTAACCAATTACTGCAGCTACGAAGAGCGAGCTCTGTACCTCGAAGCAATAATTCAGAACCACCGTGAAGTAATGACATTCGAGGATTTCGCAGCCCAAGTCTTTTCTCCCTGTCCCAGCTACTCCCTCAGTGGAACGGGTGAGTCTACATTATTCTCCCCTCACGCGTTTAAGATGCACTCGAGCAGCAGATGTACACCTGTTTTTCACAGATAAATGCTTGCAAATTTAAGAAGAGCATTCTCCCTCTGAATCAACTAATGAATATCAAAAGGAATGATGACATTCATTTTAATTTGTTTTGTATCCGAGCTGTTCACTCGGTTCTTTTCTTCAGCTATCCTGTTAACCTCCGAATCTAGCAAGGTTAATGAACTTTTTCTCAGTAATGTGCTCGGGTTCATTCAGGAGTGTGGATTTCTTGCTGAGCTGGGAATATGTTGTTTAAAAGCGGTGCCCGAATCAGTGCTTACTTATCAAAAAAGAGTTCCTCACAGTCGAAGCCGTTGCTACTAATGCTAAATGGGGATTAGGCTGCCAAGATACTCGGGTCAGGGATTAATGCAGGAGAAATGGAAGGACAGTGTCCCCTGGTCCATCATTACAGCAGTGCGGCGTGCGCGCTTTCTCTCTGGAGTGGCCTGTCGCATGGACAAGCTGCCGGCCGCAGCAGCACCTGGTGTGGGATCAGTTCAGACACTGGTTTACAATGGTTTTTATTTATTACACCCATGGAAAATTTCAGAAATTTCCATGAATTTCCTTATTTTTAGGTTTTACTCTTTTATATTGACAATTTGAAAACAAAACGTGTGCTGCCACTTAAACTGATTATATGATTACTGTGGGGTTTTTTTTTTTCCTAAAGAATAGAATTACTTGTAAATTTCTGCATGTAATTACAGATTAATTGCCTTTCAGAGAGTAAATGGGATATTTAGTCAATGCATGTTGAAATTCTCAATGAGGGGCTTCCTCCTCCTTCCACTGATGCAGACACAACTGTTAGAGTGCTTAATAGATTTCTAACCTGTGTCAATTGTCTCTGAACACTGCCCTACTTCTCCTATTCTGACTTGTTAACAAATATCTTACACGCAAAGTGGAAAAAATTAAATTCAGTGAAATAAATCACTTACAAATAAAATCAGCCATGCATCATTGTTTAACATCGCTGGCTTCAATCCTTGCCTCTCCGAGCTTTGTTGGGAGATAAGAGGGAGAGGCTTGCACTTGCACAGAGAGCCAGGAGCACAGGCAGAAGGCCTGGGAGATAAGCAAGCTGGCCGAGGTAAGGGAGCCGGTGTGATTTACATAATCACGCCTCTGCTTCCTGGTGAGGCGTCAAGAAACACAGGATGGCCTCTATTGATCTTTGTTGAACTGGAATATCTAAACAACACTAGAAAAGCTTATAACTTACGGCTTTGATTAATGTTTCTTACATTAAAAAAGTAGAACAGCTGTGAATTGAATTCTTTTATACACTCTGCCAACATTCTCTCTAAAACCAAAAAAGAAAAAAAAATCAGTTTAAGGGAAATAGACGTTGCATACCAGTCTGAGTAGGGATTTAAGTTGTTTCTGATTTTTAGGTGAAAGAACATGAAGGATCTGTAGCAAGCCACTTTTTAAAAGACCTCATTGCGCTTTTCCCCATCCTTATGAGGTGTTGGGAATTAATTTTTCAGTGCAGGATTTTTTTTTTAATCTTAAGAAAACGTTTTGTTTCTTACGATTGAAAGAAATTAAATAATAACTCGGTGTTTATATTCCTTACCTGTTACATTCTTAAGTCTCTTGATTAAGATGTTATTGAGATAAAAATTGATGGACTTTATTTTCTATGGGTATTTTAGCCTCTTTATAAATTGTTTCCAAAAATTTCTAATTATTTAAACCAATTTAAGTGAGTTAGTGTATAGGCAACATCTTAAGTTGGACTCCAGGAGTAATTTAAGTTTTTTACGGCCAGCTGTTTAGGAAGGATTGTGACATCTTCAAGAACATCACATTTGCCAGTCATTTAACAGATAAAGGTTCTGACAGTTAACAAGAGTGGGCGTTGGGAACTGTTAAAAGTGAACATGAAATCAAAGGTGGGACATCAAGACAAGTGCTAGTCCTTCCTTTTTAAAGTTATTAGCAGCAGTATTCCATTTCACAGCATTCACGGTTTGGGCTATTCAGTGAAGAGTGGTAAAATTTTTTACACACACATCACATGAACCCATGAATATAATTTTAAGTCTCTGTGTAATATCCTGTTATGCTTTGCTCACAGCAATGATTAGGAAGGACCTAGAAATGAACTTGATTTGAACTGAAATTTGGGGGCAATTCAGTGAGGGTGGAGCATTTCTGTACCACACATGTACATTTTCAGAAGCACATCCTCCTCATCTATAAACACCTTTGTACCTTTGTTAGAGTACCCCCATCCAGCCCTGTCTCTCACAGATAAAAACATTTTTCATTTATTTGGTGTTTTTGTTTTTTTTTTTATTTTCTTGGGGCAACTATTGTCAAACCCAGATGAGCCAGCCAGCTTAAACTAAGAAACTGAGGTGAAGTCTGCTCTTCCAAGCAACAAGCCAATTAGAAAAATTGACCCTGAGCAGCTTACGCTCCCACAGTACACTTAGGATCCAATCAGGTCATCTCAGCCAACAGTGTCATCAAAGCAAGGCTTGGGATACTGCTCACTTGCATATACACAATCTGAGGAATTAGGGCTTCCCAGATTTTCTTTGCATCCTGACAACAAGGGCTTTGCTGTTAATGCAGCAGGAGAGTAACCTGAACACTGTATCCATTCCACGCTCTATATGAGGCAGCAGGCAGCCTCCATTTCTAGAGGAAAGACCTCTACTACCAGCCTTTAAGTACTTGGTAAAAGAAAAAGACGTGCTCAGGGGAGTGATCTGTGTCCAGAGATGCCACTGTTGGAATATGCCCTCTCCTAAGCATCCCCTGCCCCAGAGCTATTCCTTGTTACCAAGGTCTCCATCAAGGGCACACTGACGAAGCAAATATACTTCTTCATGAGTCACTGTCAACCACTGATAAGGTTGTAGAGCCTCTTGTTGGGCTAATATGCTGGTGCCCAACATTTTAAAAATAGCTTTAAAAATCTAATTGATCAGTCAGAAATATTGTATTAAAACACCACTTACTTCATCAAATCTGTTCATCTATTACTTATATTGATGATGCCCAGAGTATAATAGGTATTTGAGCTGTTTTTATTTCTACCAAGGCTTGTAGTTTGTCCTCCTTTATTGATTCTTTCCTTATTGACCAATATCTAAAAGGTAGCCAGTGTTAAAATGCCAACTGCAGTTAACATACACATGTATGTCTAAGTATATATTTATACATATATATACACACACATATATACATATATATGTACATATATGTGTGTGTGTTCTCTGTGTGTTTTATATATATATATATATATATATATATATATATATATATATATATGCAGTTAGCATACACACCATGTTAGGGAGTAAGTTTTTGTTTTCAAACATGTTTCCAAGGAAGGGGGGGCAGCAGGGAGGCCTCTAAAGGGTTAACTGGAATGGGCACCCTCCACTGCTGGGAGGGACTGATGTAATCACTGCAGCTCACAGCCAAGTGCATCTGTTCACCATGAGGTCATTCTTCTGCATGCTAATGATTTGGAAAATCAAGTCTAATGTTTGACATTATCGAAAAGGATATAAATAGTATGAATCTTTCCTTTTTGGAAGCTGCTCTTATAAAACAAAAAAAAGAAAAAAAAACTTTAGCTTAGAGTTGATTTTTTTTCCAGAACCACTTTAAAGGTTGTGTCTGGACCTTAAAATCTTGGAGGAATCCACTTATGTCTATTGACAAATGAATCCCCAAATCATTATTACAGTCACAGCTCACAGTTTGGTAGTAGAGGACTATAGGTATGTCTCATTTAATATCTCATTTTAAGAATTCCTAAGTACCTTTGTCAGAAGTTGACAAAGATGGATTTTTCTCAAAGAATGCCTGGACCCAAGTTAAATGAATGGTTCTTCTGAGTATACCAGAATTGGCAGCATATGCTGAAGATGCCAACACTGTTTATGGTTCCTTGCTACTTTAATATTGCTGGAGGGAGCCAGCAGAGGGAGCACAAATCTTTGTTTATTTGTTAGCTCTACATAAACACAATATTTCATTTCTCCAAGATATGGTCAGAAACACTTTCTCCTTCATGATAGGCTCAGTTGTATAGGCCCCAGGATTTAGAACAAGTGGGAGAAAATTCCACACTTGGTTCCATCAGATTCTGCCACTTTTAATGTAGGTCATATTTGGAGCTTAGACCAGATTAGTCTGAATCTGTCTCAGGACACTGTGCCACTGCCACTATTGTACAGAACTGCACGCTTTCATCTTCACGCAAGCATGGCATGGGTACCCTGTTGGAAAGGATTATTACGCTTACCGTCTTAATAAAAAAAGACTTGTAATTCGTTCTGCAACATAATCATTATACTACATTCACAGAGAGTATCAGAAGATTCTGCCAGGTGTCACTGGGTCATTCCAGCCAATAAAATCTAGTACAACTGAAGACACGTTACATGTTGGTCCTAGAGTGGATCTGAGGGGGCCTCTCTGGTGGCGCAAGGGGTTAAGATGCAACCTATGAAGCTACCCGCAGCCACTGAACCATGAGTTCGATCCCCGGCCAGGGAGCTACCCACATGGCACAGCAGACCTCTTCTGACTCGCCCGCTGCTCCCCTCAGCAGTGTATTTCAGTCAATCTGCCTGTTCTGTTCCCTGCTCTGTCTCTGGTAAAGACCCCTGGGCCATACACTGTACTTGCATGGGCCAGGATATAGTAGGCTTGTCAGTGTGCACACAGATCCTGCCATGGCCATTTCACTGGACCATTTAAGTTAATCTCCAGAAACCTCACAGTGTCGCCCCTAACTCTAACTCCCCACCCCAAATTTTCCCCATTCATTGAAAGGGTGGTCATATTATAGATTCATTCAATGGTCTCTCTCTCTCTCTCTCTCTCTCTCTCTTCTCTCTCTCTCTCTCTTTCTCCTCTTCTCTCTTCCTTCCTCTCTCCCCTTTTCCCACCCTCCTTGTTAAAGTG